GGTGGGTTTGGGCTGTTCGTCAATGGAACTGATTTAGACAAGCCTGGTGCGTGTTCTTCTTTTGTTTTTTTGTTTTGTTCTTTTTTTTTTTTTTTTTTTTGGGAGATGTTGTAATGGGGTAATTTTGTTGACCCACGAATAAATTTCGTGTCTTTTTACAGGAAAATCTGAACAAAGACCATCTTTGATAGGAGACTTTGCTTTGATCATGGCGGTTGCAGAGAATGCTGGGACGAAAATTGGGTCATCGGATCAAAATTTGGAAACTACTGTAGTTTCATCGGACTCGAATGCGCAGGAGGATCTCGAAAAATCCAAGCTCAGGAGTGATTCCATTGCTCAGAGTAAGGAAGGGAGCTTTCAAGGGTCTGATAATGATCAAAACTCCAACTCCAAGTATCAGCAACAAGAGAGAGCAGCAGCTACGGTCAAAACCAGTAATGGGAACACTCAGGAGTTAAATGGGTGTGACAGGAATCAGCATGGGGTGCTAAAGTCTGGTGGGTTTAATGGGACTAATCAGAGGTCTAATGGGGTTGGGAATTTGGAGAGTGGAGACGATCAGCAATTCAAGAATGATATGAGGGATTTAGTTGACATTCTGTCAAAGTTAAACCCCATGGCTGAGGAATTTGTGCCTCCATCGATTGCCAATCTCCAGTTTCATCATCCCCATCCACTTCTAAATGATAACCACTTTCAAAACCAAAATCAAAGCTTTTTGGGAAATGGATTTGGATATACTAACAATTTTGTCGTGCACGCTAATTCTGGCAACGGAAATGGGCTTGCTAATAGAAGGGTATGTGTGATTAACACTGTTACAGCAACTTAAAAAAAAAAGGGAAAATCTTCTGTAGTTCAGTTTATTTTTTGCCCCTCTTGCCATCCATTTATTTGCTGAAGGAATGGTTTTGCATTTGATTTATTATATTCCACTGTAGTGGTTTCTGGAAAATGGTGTAGGCCTGTACTGTAGGGTGCATGATGAATGATTGTCTGGGGACTGTGACTTTTATTCCTTGTCTTTACCAGTTTTTCCTATTACTAGATGTGGCTTGCTTTATTTTTTCGCATGAGTAAGCATTTTTCTTTGCTGTTTGTGTTCTTTTTACTCAGAGGAGGAATGGTTATAGCCAAGGGAAGCGAAGAATGAACAACAGAACAAGCATGGCACAGCGAGAGGAGGCCATTAGGAAGACTGTTTATGTATCAGACATTGATCATCAGGTAACATGTTATGATTACGGGATGGTTTCATTTTTCACTTGTTTTAATGTTTGTGCCTTACTTTTGCTTTCTTTATGCGTTGATGTTTGTGTGGTTTTCTTCTGTCTCTATTGTAGGTTACTGAGGAGCAACTTGCAGGTCTCTTTCTTAGTTGTGGACAGGTGCTTGGGGTTTTCTCTCTGTAGTTCTTCAATGTTTTGTAATGGTGGATAATTCTCCTTAATGATTTTGTGTTATTTGGGCGGAAGGTTGTTGATTGTCGTATATGTGGTGATCCTAACTCTGTCCTCCGTTTTGCCTTCATTGAGTTTTATGATGAAGGTATTAACAAAATCTTCTACATTTTGGAATGCATCGCTGTTAAGCCCCCCTACGAATTTTGATGATTAAATGTTGTTACAGAGAGTGCAAGGGCTGCTTTGAATCTGTCTGGGACTATGCTTGGATTTTACCCTGTAAGAGTGCTGCCTTCTAAAACTGCAATTGCTCCTGTTAACCCAACCTTCTTGCCAAGGGTAAGCCTCACATTCCTATCTTTGTTATGAATGATCTTTATCTCTGGTTAAACCTTAGCAACTGAATAAGGGTTCTGCTTATTTTGAATTTCTTTTTTCATACTTATTAATGTACTGCCATTATATGGTTTTCAGTCTGAAGATGAACGTGAGATGTGCTCAAGAACTATATATTGTACAAACATTGACAAGAAGGTAGCTTTCTATAAATCCTGTTGTTCTTGATTTAACTAATTGAATGTTTATTTCTGATTTTTTCATTCAATTTGTGACAGGTTACTCAAGCAGATGTCAAGCTCTTCTTTGAATCATTCTGTGGCGAGGTTTGTAGTTGCTTATATGGATAACTTGAAAATTTTGTTTCTCCATTAAGTTGACTCCTTACTCGAAATTTTTTTTATTTATAGGTTCAACGCTTGAGGCTACTTGGAGATTATCATCATTCAACTCGTATTGCTTTTGTTGAGTTCACAATGGTAAACACCCATGACCTAATTTGATATGCTAAATGTTTGGCACTCATGTGCTGTACTTAAGTTCTATCTAGTTGCTATATTTATTCTTTGCTTCTTTCCTGCTTACTTTAAGCTCTTACTTTGGTCAAGTATGCATATTTCTTCCTGGCATTTCAACCTTTACAGAGATGTATTTTTCAGTTTTGCATAAGATCTTGTTTCTTATTCAACTCTAATCATATTTCCTTGCTTGCTGGCACTTAATCTTTTCCTTGAACT